TAGATGAGTGCATATATAAAAACATTCTGTTTATATAGGAAGCCTAATTGAAATGAAAGGGTTTTTCCATAGTGTATAGAATTATAAAATCTATCCAATTACAGTTATTTAATCTATCCAATGCATACCGTTCTGTGGCCGGGTTCTTCCTAAAGAGGCGGAACTTCCTTTGGCAGACGGATCACTGCGATATATATATATATATCGCCATGCAGACACAGCGAAACTTTCCATAATTAAACAGACCTTTACGACAAATACATTCAAGAAAAACGGTCGACTCAAAGCTGCTCAATAATAACAAACTGAGTGGCTACGTTCTGACAAGAGAAGCAGAAGTAGTATGATGGAGTTTTTATCGAAAGACCACGCTGGTTTTCATCTGTTTGGCCATCGTCATGACTGCCTGTCCTACTGGGGTACGAGCTGGCTGTTGCTGTCCAACATTCTGGACTGCTTTCGGACAGCATTGTTACAGGTAAAATGGGATTATTAATTTTTTTTTTTAATTTTTTCTTTTCAATAAACAACAAGTTATCTTTTTTTCTTTATATTTTCATCTTGTCTTTGTCAGAAACTTTTTTTGATGTTTATAGTTGGGGTGATCCGACATTTGCAAGGGGATATAATACTTATACGGTAGAGATTTAGGCCGGGTTAGGTTTTAGGTAGTAGGGTTAGGGTTAATTAGGTATAATGTTGGGTCTGGTGATGTAGAAGTTCGATTCGGTTAGTTATGGAAAATTACCGCTGACCAATGGTCGCAGGAGCTTTTGGGGATATTGTGTTTTTCATTTCTGTTTAGCTTTGACGTTTAAAATTGTTTTGCGATTGTTTCTTCTTTTTCTTCTTTTTTTTCTTCTTCATCTTCTTCTCCTTCTGCTTCTTCTCCTTCTTGTTTTGTGTGTGGGACGGGGTGAACGTGTATTTGTTTTGTAAAGAGCATATTACATCAGCTATGTGTACTACATTTTTAAAGCAAATTTATATAGATGGGATGAAATCATGCATGGGGAAAGTTATGTTGATGGGGTATTCGGAGGCTAAACCCGGCGGCTACACGTAATGCCTACTAGATGTGTGTATGATTTGGTTTCTCTGGGCTTTATTCCGCCAAACTTAGGTAGGCCTATACAGGGGCGTACGCAGGATTTTTTCAAGGGGGGGGGTTTAAAATCTGGCCCAAAATATTTTGCTCCCGAAAATTTGAAAATCGCGCCCCGGCCGAAAAGTCGCTCAGTGGGGGGGGGGGGGGGGGGGGGGGGGGGGGGGGGTAAGCGGACACTTTTTTTTCTTCTGGTAGTCCAAAAGAAAATCGCAAAGACTCAGCCAACCGAAAAGTCGCTCAGTGGGGGGGGGGGGGGGGGGGGGGGGGGGGGGGGGGTAAGCGGACACTTTTTTTTTTTGGTCTCGGAATTTGAAAATTGAAGAAAAAAAAAATTCGTTGGGGGGGGGGGGGGTTAAGGTCACTTTACGTTAGCCGTGGGTATAACTTTTTTTTTTTTTTTAAATAAAAAACAAACAAAAACAAAAAACAAACAAAGGGGGGGTTTAGTTTTTTTAGGAGGGTTTACACACATAAAAATACCAAAGGGGGGTTTGAACCCCCCCCCCCCCCCCCCCCCCCCCCCCCTGCGTACGCCCCTGGGCCTATATTATATGGTTAGGGCGAGGGCCTCTTAGGTTACGTTTAGGTTTATGTACAGCTAGGAGTATAGGTCCATGATTAATGTTAAGATTGTACTAAGTGTAGGAATCAACGTAATGAGGACAATCCTCCATGCTCCACCCCTTCCAAGTACGGTGCAACTTTAATTTACCTTTGCCCTCTTCCCTCTCGATCCACTTATAGATTCTTCGCCTCCAACACTACATGGCAGGATGCAGAGAACCACTGTCAGACTTACAGCGTGCCCTCTCTCGGCAGTGGAGGAGCAGTCATAGATAGTTTGGGTCATCTGGTTTCCATCCATTCTGAAGCAGAACACAACTTCGTCGTAACTCTTTTCGCAACTTCTCGAAAAAAGGAGGTACATTTATGGCATATCTGTTATAGAGCTTATCCGGACAATTACCCTCTGGATTGTGCTTGTGTCCAATTGTCCTAAAAATTGTATTAATTGTTATTGTAAACATAAACAAACTTAAAATCCATACTCGAAAAAAAATATATTACCTATAACCGAGGTTTAAAGATAAAGGTATAAGACCCACAGGTAGGGTAACATAGCTAATGCAAAATTTTTTTGTTGAAGAAAACTGTTCTATGGGTAGTCGTTCTGGGGTAATTGTCCTGCACTAGACATCGATATCATCCCTGAAATATGTTGTTTAGGTCCCATACACCTCACGTCATACAACAATATAATGAACGGATAAATCCATATCGACAATTTCATCAATTCTTTTAATACGGTCAAGTATAGGGCTTTCAATTTAAAGTCCACCCTGATATTAATTTGGTTTAATATAAGCAGAAACATAGAGAGAGACAACATTTCATAAAAAAAAATTCTTAATTATTTATGACGGAATTGATTTGTATCACGTATACAAATATATTTGCGATAATTATATCTAGGGTGAATGTATGACTGACAATTTTCTGTAGGGAAAATAGATATTTTTTATCTTATTTTGGGGGTACAGGGCAAATGGGAGGGAGCTCGCACGATACGTCACATAGTTGCCAATTTGTGCTGGATTGATCGCACCTTCAAAGATTAATAACTTTCTTATTTCTTAATCGTTTTTGCTCAAAATTTCACTGAACTGTTTCTCTCAGCTCTCTACTTCTATTATTAGAATCAACTTGGTATCAGGGTGGAATTTCCCTTTAATATGAAGATCTGCAGGTTTACTAAATCTATATAAAATACATAAGATTCGGAGGTCTTCTACGTGTCTTTTGTAATATATTTCTTCACGTACATGTATACCGTTTTAATAGTTAAATTTCATATTTAAATCGCTCTCTCTCTCTCTCTCTCTCTTTTCTTCTCTCTCTCTCTTCTCTCTTACTCTCTGTCTCTCTCTCGCTTTCTCTCTCTCTCGCTTTCTCTCTCTCTCGCTTTCTCTCTCTCTCTCTCTCTCTCTCACTTCTCTTCTCTTCTCTTTCACACCCTCCCTCTCTCTCTCCCTCCCTCGTCTCTATCCATCAGTCTGGTAGCATTGCTATGTTGCTTGGAATGCATGATACATCAGCTGAAGATCACTTCCAGTGGTCAGATGGAACGCCATTTGACTTTACCATGTGGTCACCAGGTCAACCGGACAACTGGCGCTCACGAGAGGACTGTGGAGAGATACCACTATACCACAAATGGAATGATGCAGACTGTCGAAATTATTATCATTATTTCGTCTGTAAACTACCAGCATCATAGGCGTAGCCAGGGAGCCTAGAAAGGGGGCACCCCCCCCCCCTGGTTATCCGCTCAAAAAAGCTGGAATCTCAGCTTAAACGTAAAATGTCATAATTCAAAATAGAGAAACGTAGGAAAGAAGAAGGAAACACAAATGACTTGATTATCAACAGATTGTTTAGTAGTAAACAGTCATGGTGCACGCGAGTAAATATAATATTTCATAGGAGTCTTAGCCTAGCAAGGCACTTTTATTTTATTTCTTTTTTAAGAAAACTTAGGCCATTAAAAAATATATACATGTTTAGCGTCCCGCCCGCTTCCTTTTTGGGGGCCGCCTCCTTTTTTCTTTTTTTTGTTGATTTTTTTTTTTTTTTTAAAGAAAAAAAAACATGAAAAAACACTGCTAAAATGGATCTATTTCTGATTTTTAAAAAAAAAAAGGGTCGGCGGCCATCTTGAAAAATAGCCCAACTGTCAGGGAAAATGTACCGAGCGGCCATTTTGAGCGGCCCTTTTGAAAGAAAAAAAAAAGAAAAAGGGCGCCTCCTTCCTATTTAAAAAAAAACCAGGACGCTAAACATGTTTTGTTTTTTATTTGGCCTTACTTTTGAGAGATTATTTTTGTTAGTGTCGTTTTGCGATTCCAGTGTTTATTATGCATTGGCAGAGATCTTTTCGTTGTTCGTTATTAAAGGCCCACTGCACTACTGGTAGCTACTTGTGCCCTCTATATAACAATCAATTCCTAATCGGTGACCATTGGTCCCCCATGATCCTCTTTTTCTTATGTTAACTGAGAGCTGAGTTGATGAGATAACCACCTATCCAGTGACCTTGCAGAGCGGTCTAATCCCTCCTGTAAACTACGGCTTTAAACACGAAAATTGAGCTTTCTAACTTCATACAGCAATTTCTTGTTTTCCTTTTTGTATTCGTTATTGTTGTGAATACCTTGCTTTAACTCAAAGAAATGCCTCCCCCCCCCCCCCCCCTCCTCCCCCTCTAATAAATTTGTCTTGCATCCATCGAGTTAGACGGGTGCCTCACGGTGAGAGCAATTATTATGTTCGTCTTATTATAGTATTGCGTCATTCGTTATTGTACTCTGTCAACCACCAACTGCAGTGTACGGCGTCATCGTCGAAAGAAAGAAACTGAATTTAGATAAGGATTAAGAGTCGAGAAACGGTCCAACGAATAGTCTTCTTTCTCTAATAATGCAATGAAACGTCAAAGCTTTCGTCTAGTAATTATATTTAAATGTCTTTGGGAGCGCGCTACGCGCGCTCTGTAAGTGATTCGCACGCATCGCGTGCTCCGGCGTGCTCACTACCGCCCCCCTAAAATGAAATCCTGGCTACGCGCTTGAAAACGGATTGTTTTTCTACGTGTAAATAAATGGCAACTGTGAGCTATGTCTTATAAAAAGCAGAAATTTACCGAGGATAACTCTGTACATCATTTTTTTGTTAAACGCCGCCTTGCCCGTCATAATCTAAACAAGCTCTTACGCCACTCCCGCCCCCCCACTCAGTGTTATTTAGGGTACGCATATGCGTGTTCCAACCGACCCCCCCTTTCAGCAAAAGTCCGGTGTGTAAAGTCAATACGGCTCGACCTTTTTCTTTTTATACGAGCCTTTTCAGCATCCCCCCTTTTCAGCAAAAGTCCGGTGTGTAAAGTCAATACGGCTCGACCTTTTTCTTTTGTACGAAAAGGACATTTTGGCAACACGCATGCGGTCATTTTGAAACCTGAGTGGGGGGGCCGGGACGCCACTGCTACCAAATACATCCACACACTGAGGACTACATGTATGTTCTTCAGGGACCCGTTTCACAAAGCCTTTTTTTTTCAATGACAAATTACAAAATTCTGTGACAAATCTGCTGATTACCAATCAGAAGCAAGGATCTTTTAGTAGCTTATAACCAAAACTGTTATTTGTCACTGATGACAAGTTCTGTGAAACTCCCCCTGAATATTGTACTCCGAAATGCTTTCTTCACCTCCGGCAGGCTGGTTGGTCGCTCGTTGAACGATTTTGCACAAAGCACATTTTGACGGCAAGATTAACTTGTGCAACCATGCAATGAGGTACAGGGGTGTTGTTTGTGGCACAATTATGAAGAGTTAAATCCACACAGTCATCCGTTTCTTGGAATAGTAATTGCCTCATCATTCGCTGACACCAAAATTGGCTAAATTACCAGTTAACGTGTATGCAGGTCTCCGGGGCAGCAAAAAAAAAACTGTCGCCCACCAAAGAAACTATTCCAGCTTGCCATCAAATCTCGACATGGCTATAGATTAAGGGCACAATACCTGGCATTACATTAGACCTGTCGGTAGTAAAAGTGAAATCCATTCTGGGTGAATTGACAACACCTTTGATTAGGTATAAACACCCGAATTGATTACTATTCCAGTCTAGTCTGCAAGCACAGACCCTGGTCAGTCGTAAAAGAGAGTCTGCACTATAAAACTACCATAGGCCATGTACTATACAACCAGTAGGTACCTGGGCTAGGCTTCTCTCAAGGCAAAATGATATTTGATAAAGTGTCAAATTAGAGTCTGTGCTTGACACAACCAGTGGGTAGCTTGGCTAGGCTTCTCTCAAGGCACAATGATATTTGATAAAGTGTGAAATTAGGGTCTGTGCTTGCAGACTAATTCCAGTCTTGCATTACGTTGTAATTAGCTTATGAATGTTAAAATGGGTAGCTCCCTCTTATCGAAATGAATTAATCACTGCATACAGACGAACAAAAGATCTTCGACCATGCAAAAACATTTTGTAATTGTTCTTCCTATTCTGACCAAAAGAAAACATAAAGTGTATGTTCATTTGCCCATGCTGCCCGGGTTTTATGGAATAACCTCCCTGGCTCACTTAGAAACATTAATACCATAGATAAGTTTAAGTCTGCATGCTTTCAAAATACTCTTTAATATTCTAAATGTTAGATAAATAAATGAACGCAGTAAATTAGTTTCTCTTTGCTTTTTTGTCTTCCCAAGTGTATAGAGACAAGAATGGTTTTTCTTTATTAGTATTATCATTATAACCATTATTATCATCATCATCATTAGTGTCGAATTCCCCATGACAATCCACTACTGGGCCTTTAAATGCCGTCACCGATTTCTTCATCTAGACGATGTCTCCATCTGTTCCACGGGTCTATCAAGAATCCAATAACACCACCGATACAGAGCAGAGCTCCCGCCAAGCAGAAACAAGATCTGTAATCGTTGGTCCAATCGAAAAGTAGTCCTGTATTCAAAAGAAGATATAGCATGCTATTTTAAAGAGAAGGTTGAGTTCTGGGAAGAGGTGAAAAATAAGTTGTGAGCGTTATAATTCTTATTATGCAAGTGTGGAAGAACATCAGATAAGACATGTTCCCTGAAAAAGCATGGCTCTTCAAAAGCCTTCATATTCTAAATATGTCATGTATGATGTAACATCGTAAAAATCCAGGGTAAGATTTTTACGTCACGTGTACGTGTAGTCCCATATATCTTTCTGTGTACAGTGTTTGTAACTTTACCAAGACTTGGCCAAATTTCTTATCATTGTGATGATTCCAGAACCTTGCAATACACACAAATTCGTATATGCTAGATGATCAACCTTTTCTGGTCGATTCCACACCGTTTCTTTCACAATGCAATCGCATGACCAGAACTCAACTTCATCTTTAAATCAATCAAATGAGGGAGACATATCACCGAAGTTCAATATTCGTTCTGAAGGACTCCAATGACTTGTAATGATGAGAAGCTAATATATTAACTTCAATTTCTCTTCTGCCTTAAAGTTTTAAAATTGGCAAAAGATTATGCCACTATAATAATTACGATATTGCTACGATTAATTAGAATGCTGAAGAAGAAAACAAAAATAAAAATACTTTTCTTCGTCCTCTTTGCCACCTTACAATGGAATTTTTCTTCCTCTTCTACTTAATCAGCTATTTTTTATTTAAGGTTAACATGATGCAGCGTGGCTACTAGAAATCAATGAATTTTAGTCCTGCCATAAACTGAAACAAAATAAATCCATGTTAAAGTGACTGTAGTGACATACCTAGTAAATACGTTACCAAGAGCTGTGAAATCCCCGTGAAGAAACTCTGCAAGCCGAAAGCGCTGGCCAGTTCTGAGGGCGCTGTATACATTTTAGTCATGACCGGACACAATGGAATTTGGGCTCCCGTCGACAGTCCGAAAATGATGGCATAGACAACAAAGGCTGGATATGTTCCAAATGTAACAATGATGTAAAGGCTACAGCCTGCGAGTACTGAAGTCAACCCGTAGAGCTTGGTCGGTGTGATGAGTTTGAAATCGAGAAGGAATCCGTGAGTGAGACGACCCACGAGGCTACAAAGTCCCATGATAGTGAATATGAAGGACGCCCTCAGCTCGCTCACGCCTGATGATACGACGTAACTGGGCAGGTAGACATACGAAGGGTAGTATCCACCTCCTTGAAATGTTGCTATGAGGCAGAGGAGAAGAACGTTCGAATTTTTCCACAAAAGGTTGAAACCGAACAAATCGAGAAAATTATTAATAAACTGACGAAATTTTACAACACAGTATTGGCAGGACTTTCTCTTTGTGTTGTTATCATGCTGCAGTGATGTCTCAGTATGGAATTTTTCAATCGATTCGCGAGGCTGTATATATTTCTTCCTGTCCATCTTGTGAATTGCATTCTCAGATTGTACATCAGGGTAGATTACGGTGTCGTCAGGACCATTGCGGACTACCTGCAATGGATCTCCAGTGTGAGCAGGATCAACCACTGACACGAGCGGTTGTAGTTCTACTGTCTCCCCATGCTCAAAAGAATTCATGGAACTGTCAGCCGGAAGATTAAGTATGATCTCAATTTCCCCATCAACTGCATCTTCATCTTCGAGGTAGTCATTCGTCAGTGGACGTGGAGCATTTCTTCCTTTCGTATCTTTTTCCTTTTGACCACCAGGTCAAGGGTCGGTATACTGCTGCGGTGACGCTCAGGTTCGCGACTAGACCTGCCACGATAAGAAGTGCACCTCTCCACGTGAAGACTTCAATGAGCAGCGCCATCAACGGTGATCCAGCCATGATGCCCAACCCCACTCCAGAGTATGCTAACCCGTTTGCTCGGCCCAGCCATTTATCAAAGTAGACACTGACGATAATGACAGTTCCTTGATATACCAATCCCATCGATGTACCTATGAACGATAATAGGGTAGTAGGCAAGAATAGGCAAATAAGCAAAGCAGGGAATAACGTAACAGCATAAGGGACTGAAGTCTTGAATTTTAACACCTAACTTTAAAAAAAAGTTAACCAAATGTGTATCCTTACTTTTCTTCGGACATTGACCCTTTAGCCTAATAGTGAAGGCATAGGCAAACATTAGATTGTAGATGTCAATCCCTTTTCCATGTCGGACAAAGTATCCAACTCCTAAACATTAATTATATTACCCGAATAATATTCAGTCAAGCTTTAAAGAGCTTGGTTCCAGAACATCCATAAAACTAACTTCTGTTTCATTGTTTCGGATTTCATAGACAAAGCATGTTTGGGACCAAACTAGTGTTATGGCCCGAACTTTTTGTTATTTCCCCCAAAAGAACATTTATCATTTTGAATGTTTCAGTGTATGTTTTTTCCTGGAAATGAGTGAAAACGGATGTGGCATGCTTTGGAACCAAACTTTTGTTTTAAATGTTTTTCAAGGAAAAATATTGCGGACTGTTCATTACATAACGTGATAACATGGTATACATGTTACTAACCAATTAAACAGGAGCATATAAAGATCTGCCATAGTTTGTTGGTCATAGAAAGCAATAATATCGATGTCATCGCACAGAAACCACCAACAAAGACGATAGGACGACATCCGAATTTCTGATTTAATGCACCCGCCACAGGAGCTGAAAGGAGCAAAACACACATAACAGTTTCTGATTTAAAAATACAAAGCGTACTCGATCATTGATTAGGTCAGGGGGTTAATATTATTGTATAAAAGCCAACACTGAATTGTGAAAGTACAGTGACTTTTGGCGGAAAAGGAAAATTATATTTTGGAAGGAACAATTTACTGCATAGCAATAAGTGTTCAGAGTGCTGCGCTTTACTTCTTTAAATTCGACACTTACAATGTTATCTAACTTGGTTTATGTCACAGATTATAGAGATTTAACAAAATGACATTCCATCAACAACAAGATGACACAAACATTAACAAAAATGTATGGTCTAGTTTGATAATGACATTCCATTGCTCGTAAGTACTGAGATGAAAATGTAAATTTTAGTAAGTTTACCACACCCATCTAGCCCCATGACCGACATACTATTACCTATCACGAATCTTGGTGCATTCGCTAGTGTACTCGCCCATGAGACTTGTGAAGGGGTGACTCCAAGTCTTTTCTCCCATTCAACTGTCAGGAGAGGCATGTAGGAGCTCTGCATTGACACGATGGCTCGTCCAATGAAAGCTGCTATAACAACCACCACCGCCCATCTGCCATCTACCGGGCTCGCTGATTGGCTAGGATCATGATGTCTGGTATCTCCATCAACATCAATAGAAGATGTGGACGGTTTGTTTGCCGCCATAATTTATCCGTGAGAAAAAATATATTTGAGAATACAATGACGAATATTCTGTGAATAAAAAAAGAGACAATTAGTTTTAGTGTTAACAGTGTCAATATTATATTGACAAGTGGGTTCTTTCCTTAAACTTCCTTGTCATTCATTGTATATGATTGTGTCTTGGGGTAGTGGTTAATTCACATGGCTTTCAATCGTAAGGTTGAGGGTTTGAACCCTTGCCCTGCATTGATGTCATTGTTCAAGGCATTGTCATTAATCTACATTTGTAACTCTCCATCCAGGTGCACATTGATATTTGAGCTAGTAACTTTGGTGGCTTGGCTAGGTAAATGTAATCAACACGTAGCTAAGCCGAAAAGGGGGAAATGTTTTCTTCATTCATGTTTTCAAAAAGACAGTGTCACCAATAGTAGTAAATGGATGCTAAGGAATACTCGCTAAGGTGAATAGAATAAAGTTAATTTTCTCAAATTTCATAGCGAAATATATACGTATTGTATATATATATATATATATATATATATAATAAGCAAATAATTACCGTTGGTGCAGATGATGGGACAAACTATCCCTTCCGAGGCGATCTGGATGTAGCTATCTTTCCGAAGCGAAGCTGAGAAAAAATAGCGTATACACTCAGATCGCCGAGGAAGTGATAGTTAGCCATCGCCTGACACCAAAAGGTGATTATTTGCTTTATATTCCACATCAGTAACATTTCACTTCTTCCGTCGTTTTAGAGCAACAAGTCATCAATTAACAGCTAGCAAACGGTGTACGATACGTACAGTGCATTGCAGTACGTACACGCAACGTATATAATTAAAGTGCGTTGCACTGTGATATAGTACTACTATAGTGTGGTGAATTGTGACGTCATCAAAAATCTATTTTTAGAATTTCACATTTTTTTTCCTCATTTTCTGAAAGAGCATCAAAAATATTATCGGAATGTCGAAAACCAATTGAATATATTAAGTATGGCTGAGATATGACCATCTGAATAAATAGATGTTCTATGGGAACTCAGTGTTATAGTGCTCTAGTTCATAACATTAGGAACCAGAGCACTATAACAGTGAGTTTTTTTTTTTTTTTTTTGGGGGGGGGGGGGGGGGTGGGCTGATTTTGTTATTATAGATTTCTGTAGATGTGTTTTTGATGTTGCATAGATTATTCATTCGTGCCTGCGCGGCAAATCACATAATTAATACTTTTACTTCTTACCTAATGATACGTATTATTAGGTGGTCTCCAACAACAGACCACCTATTGATTTTGTTAGAATTTTCTTTCTTTATTTTTATTATTATTAGGTGGTCTGTCGATGACAGATCACCTATTGATTTCGCTAGAATTTTCTTTCTTTATTTTTATTTCTTCCGTACACTTTTTTGTCCACACGTTCATTCGAAATCGACATTGTCAATTTCCTTCAAATTTCTGTCAGTCATCAAGCCCTATGATTTCAAGTCAAATCAACTTTTTCAAGGTCACTAGGTCATCGTGACGTCATCCAGGCGCCATTTTGTAAAAATCAGGTCATTATCATATCTCGATAACGATTAATCAAAAATAAACCATATTTGGTATACATCAACTTCAGGTCAAAGGTCAACTAAAATTGTCAACAAATTTCGCGCGCGCACCTCGACGCGCACGTACGCGCGCATCAACATTTTATAATGCTCTGATTCGTCTAAAATTAATTTTGCATACGTTTCAGGCCATTTTAAGCATTTTGCAAAAAAACGCGCACACGTGCATGCGTGCGCGTTTTCGCGCGTACTTGCATTTTGCAACGTTGAATCGCCAAATTTTTTCTGTCATCATATTTGGCACATTTTTTCAAGTATTTTGATACCTTGTTCACCTTTTTCTGACCATTAATAACGGAATGAGCGTCCGTTAAGATACGCATCCGTGCGTGCGAGCTCTTGTAATACATAACATACATGTGCGAAAACATGCCTATACAAAATTCATTGTAACTCTTCAGAATGGACAGATACCCCCAATTTTCTTTCATATTTAGATAGATTTGAGTCGGAGATATGATTTCATGTCTCATTTGACCCTCAATTAACTCATGACGTCATCATAATGACCTCCGAACTCAAAATTTCAATTTGCATATTATTACGTCAGCAGATTTTTAGAAAATTGATTGTATCTCTGTAAATATTGATTAATTTTCTTTCAAATTTTGATATGTTCTACCCGAGAATATTCTCTACAAATGCAGTAACCACGATATTTCATTTTGACAACGGAATCATGGCGTATTTTTGCGATAAAAGGAGGCATGTCAATTTTTCACATTTTGCGTGTATTCTCTATGGGACATGACTTTTTCTCAAAACTGGATTCTACATTCTTGTCTTTCGCGAGCAATATCTCCGTCGTTTGATCTTCGTTTACGCTGAGCTTTGAGTATGTTGTAGCTGAGAAAATATGCTATCGTAAGTGTGCCCTTTATTTTTCGATCAGATGCCGGGATCATGCTCATATTTCACTTACAAAGTGGGATTTGAGATTTCCATTTTTCGTTTACGTGTAATCTCTATGGGAAATGTTTTGGTATATCGGTAACGCACTTGACTTCCGACCTCGAGGTCCCTGGTTCGAGTCCGGGCGTCTCTAACAATTTTTTTCTTCACTTTTTTTTCTTTTTGACCTTTTACTGTACCATCTCCTTTGAATATTAAAACACGTACAATCGCAAATAATGTAATAAACAACCATATTTCCTTTATTATTCCCCTATTATCACTTGATCCATTACTTTTCGCGTGTGTAATCCTTATTGGAGATGACTTTTTCTCAAATCTGGATTCTACATTCTTGTCTTTTGCGAGCAATATCGCCGTTATTTCGGCTTGATTTTTGTTGATTTTTGAGTATGTTGTAGCTGAGACTATATGCTATCTAAATGTTCTCTCATTTTTTTCAGTCTGATGTCATCATGGTCTGTTAATGATAATCATCAACATCATCATGATCATCATCATCATCATCGTCATCACAATTACTATCAAGATCATCATCATCATGATCATCATGACGATCATCATTGTTTACATGTCTATATAACTTCTCCCTTTCTCAAGATAGTAAATATTATAATCTATCATAAGACTTAAAGACAGACCACCTTATTCGTCCTCGTGACGAATTAAATTCTAGTTATTTTTATTTCTTCCGTACACTTTTTTGTGCACACGTTTACTCGAAATTGACATGGTCAATTTCCTTCAAATTTCTGTCAGTCATCAAGCCCTATGATTTCAAGTCTAATTAACTTTTTCAAGGTCATTAGGTCGTGATCATTAATCTCAGCGCCATCTTTGTAAACAATCAGTCATCCAACTCATCATAACAAATCATCAGTCATCAACATCCTAAACCAGTCATCAAACGACGTCATCCACATTTTGTAAAAATCAGGTCATTTTCATATCTCGATAACGAGTCATCATCACCATATGGTATACATCAACTTCAGGTCAAAGGTCAACTAAAAATGTTAACAAATTCCGCGCACGCACCTTGACGCGCACGTACGCGCGCATCAAAATTTTATAATGCTCCGATTCGTTCCAAAAATTTTGCATACGTTTCAGGCCATTTTAAGCATTTTCAAAATTGCGCGCGCGTAATTATGCGCGCGCGTTTCCGCGCGTATCCGCGCGTCCTGGCATTTTGCAACACAGAATTGCCAATTTTTTTCTGTTATCATGTTTATTACATTTTTCCAAGCATTTTGATACCTTGCTTACCTTTTTCCGACCAGTAATAACGCAATTAGCGGCTGTCAAAGTTGAACGCACGCGCCAACCTGCGCTATCTGTATCCACAATACATGGGCAAAAACATGCCTATTCAAAATTCATTTTAACTCTTAAGAATGGATAGATACCCCCCAATTTCTTTCATAGTTAAATAGATTATGAGTTGGAGATATGATTTCATGTCTCATTTGACCCTCAATTAACTCATGACGTCATCATAATGGCCTCCGAACTCAAAATTTCAATTTGCATATTATGACGTCAGCAGATTTTGTTGAAAAGTGATTGTATATCTGTAAATATTGATCAATTTTCTTTCAAATTGTGATATGTTCTACCTGAGAATATTCTCTACAAATGCAGTAACCACGATATTTCATTTTGACAATGGTATCATGGCGTATTTTTGCGATAAAAGGAGGCATGTCAATTTTTTACATTTTGCGTGTATTCTCTATGGGAAATGACTTTTTTCTCAAAACTGGATTCTACATTCTCGTCTTTCGCGAGCAATATCTCCGTCGTTTTATCTTTGTTTACGCTGAGCTTTGAGTATGTTGTAGCTGAGACAATAAGCTATCACAAGTGTGCCCTTTATTTTCGATCAGATGCCGGGATCATGCTCATATTTCACTTGCAAAGTGGGATTTGAGAATTTTATTTTCCGTTTACGTGTAATCGCTATGGGAAATGTTTTGGTATATCGGTAACGCACTTGACTTCCGACCTCGAGGTCCCAGGTTCGAGTCCGGGCGTCTCCAACAATTTTTTTTCTTCACTTTTTTTTCTTTTTGACCTTTCACTGTACCATCTTCTTTGAATATTAAAACACGTACAATCGCAAATAATGTAATAAACAACCATATTACTTTATTATTACCCTATTATCACTTGATCCATTACTTTTTGCGTGTAATCCTTATGGGAGATGACTTTTTCTCAAAATCTGGATTCTACATTCTTGTCTTTTGCGAGCAATATCGCCGTTATTTTGGCTTGATTTTTGTTGATTTTTGAGTATGTTGAAGCTGAGACTATATACTATCTAAATGTTCTCTCATTTTTTCAGTCTGATGTCATCATGGTCTGTTGATGATAATCATCAACATCATCATGATCCTCATCATGATCATCATCGTCATCACATTTACTATCAAGATCAGCATCATCATGATCATCATGATCATCATCATTCTTTACATGTCTATA